CTTCATTTCTAATGCGTGGCCGGAATTGCAAATGACCGGAATTAGAAACGAGCGCGCTTGTTAGGCCCTGGAGGCCACAGGGCAAATGCATTCGAGCGCGCGCCCGAGTCTGGATTTGGGGCGCGCCATCCTCGATCGGGCACGCGTAGACGTGACACGCAAATCCTGCGCGTCGCGTGCACGTGACACGCAAAATCTGCGTGTCACACGGAGCGCGCCTGGGGCGGGACACGCAAAATCAGAGGGGCGGACACGCAAAATCTGCGCGTCGCACGCCGGGGGTCCGGGGGCCGGGGTGGGGACACGCAGAATCTGCGTGTCACGCGGGCCCCACCAGAGGGGGCGGTCACGCAAAATCTGCGCGTCGCACGCCAGAGGTCCTGGGGGCCAGGGTGGGGACACGCAGAATCTGCGTGTCTCGCGGGCCCAAAATCTGCGCGTCGCACGCTGGGGGTCCGGGGGCCGGGGTAGGGACACGCAGAATCTGCGTGTCACGCGGGCCCCGCCAGGGGGGCGGACATGCAAAATCTGCGCGTCGCACGCCGGGGGTCACGGAGGCCGGGGTGGGGACACGCAGAATCTGCATGTCTCGCGGGCCCCACCAGGGGGGCGGACACGCAAAATCTGCGTGTCGCGCGCCGGGTGTCCCCGGGGCCAGGGTGGGGACACGCAGAATTTGCGTGTCACGCGGGCCCCAGCAGGAAGGGGCCTAGGGCCGCGAATCTGGCGCGTCGCACGTTCTCGCGTGCGACACGCCGGACTCGCGCGTCGCCCCCTTTTCCGCGCAGGGACACGCAGAACCTGAGTCTGCGTGTCACGCGGGCCCTGCCAGGGGGACACTCAAAATCTGCGCGTCGCACGCCGGGGGTCCCGGGGGCCGGGGTGGGGACACGCAGAATCTGCGTGTCTCGCGGGCCCCAGCAGGAGGGGGGCCAAGGGCCGGGGACCGTGGCGCTCCCAGACAGACGCCCGCGCGCCCCGCCAGGGGGCCAGGACACGCAGAATCTGCGTGTGACCTCCAGAACGCCGCGCAGGAACACGCAGAAGCTTCCGGGGGCACACGAAAGCTCCAGGTTCGAGACCCCCGCTGCCCCCCCCCGATCGTGAGCAGCAGCTTTACTGGGAGGTCTGCCACCTCCTCGCGGCAGCGCTCGCGGCAAGCGCCGCGGCGTCGCTGGCTCGGCAGGCGGGTTTGGCGGACTTGTCGGTCTACGACGTGCAGGTGATGTTGTACATGCTGCGCCGGCAGGCCGGCTTCGCGGCCCGCCACCGCGCGCAGCCGCAGTCAGCAGCGGCCCCGGAGTCGGCGGCAGCGCCGGCGGCGGCGAGTCCCGCCGTCGCTGAAGGGCGGCCCTCCCGGCCAGCCGCGAAGTGACTTCGCCGCGCCCTGCGGGCGGCGGCAGCGCCCGACCGTGGGGCAGCGCCGCCGCGGGCGACGCCAGCCCTCGAGTCGCCAGCAGCGCCAGCGGCGTCAGCGCTGGCTTCGGCTTCGGCGCTTCGGCCGCCTCGAGCTTCTCGAGGCCTCTCAGGCGGCTGCGGAGCGCCGGGAGCGCGGAGGTGCCTCCCGCACCGCAGCGCTGCGGCGGCGGTGCCAGCGGCTGCGGCGTCGGCGGCGCAGCCAGCGGTGCCAGAGGCCTCTCAGGCGGCCGCGGCGTCGCGTAGACGTGACACGCAGGATTTGCGTGTCACGTCTACGCGACACGCGAATCCTGCGTGTCACGTCACACGGAGCGCGCTCGGGGCGGCGTCGCGTAAGTAAACGTGACACGCAAATCCTGCGCGTCACCCGGAACGCGCTCGGGGCGGCCTGGCGACGCGACACGCAGGATTTGCGCGTCGCGTAGACGTGACACGCAAATCTTGCGTGTCGCACGGAACGGCGACGACGTTGCTGTTGCCGTCATTCTTTTGATCTGTGAACGAGCGTAAGCAGAAGCTGCGCCCTGACGCCTTGGAGACACGTTGGGCGTAGCGCTTCTTCCCGTCGGCACCTCTCATTTGCAATTCGTGGCCGGAAGTGGAAATGACCGGAATTAATTACAAATGACCGGAATTACAAATGAGTGCTCTGTACATCTGACAACCTTGGAAAACACATCCCAACACAGTGATTGCACCAGGGCTTCTTTTGATTGTATTCTAAGCAAGAAGCCAGGCTTCTGGTTTTCGGCCCCTGGGCGCCCGTGGCCGCCTCGCGGGCAGTGTGGATTTAGTGGGTTTGGGGCTCGTGGGGTTCCTGTTGCCACCTCGTCTCCTCGTGCGTGGATCGGGTCTCGCAATATTTTGGCCGCTGGCCGCCCGTGGCCGCCTCGTGACCGCTTCGTTCGCTGCTTGGCGCTTCGTTTGTAACATGTAGAGGATACGCGCGATAGTCCACCACGTAATTTGCGCCGCATATCTCGCACCAAATACATGCCTTGTCCTAAACATTAGCTTGGCGAAGGGCCCACACATGTGCAGTTGTGGGTGCCGTCCTTGTGAGTGCTGCCGTCGGTGAATCTCTTTATGGGGCCGCGGAGCGCGTGAATGGTGCGCCGAAATGAGGCGGAACCGCCATGCGAGCACTGCCACTGGGACCCTCGGTGAAGCTTTTTATAGGGCCACGACACGCGTGAGGAGTTCTCGGAAATTGAAAGTGGAACCGCATGCGGGCGCTGCCACTGGAGCCCTCGGTGGAGCCCCCTGATGGGGCCACAAAACGTGTGAGAGGTGCACCGACATGGGTGGGGGTGGAACTGCACTTGGGCGCTGCCGCGGGGGCCTTCGGTGGAGCTCTCTATGGGCCATGGGGCCACGAAGCGTGTGAGGGACGGGCGCTGCCACCGGGGCCCGCGGTCGAGTTCCTTATGGGGCCACGAAGCGTGTGAGTGGTGCACCGAAATTGATGGTGGAACCGCATGCGGGCGCGGCCACTGGGGCGCTCGGTGGACCCCTCTTATGGGGCCACGAAACTTGTGAGAGGTGCACCGAAATGGCGGGTGGAACCGCACTTGGGCGCTGCCGCGGGGGCTTTCGATGGAGTTCTCCATGGGCCCACGACACGTGTAAAGGGTTGTGCCGGACTGGGGGTGGAATCGCATGCGGTCGCAGCCCCTGGCCTTGGGTGGAGCTCCCTGAGGGGCCACGCAACGTGTCAGGGGTGCACCAAAATGGAAGGTGCAACCGCATGCGGGCGCTGCCACTGGGGCCTTCGGTGGAGCTCCCTACGGGGCCACGAAACGTTTGAGAGGTACACCGATATGGCGGGTGAAACCGCATGCGGGCGCTGCCACTGGGGCGTTCGGTGGAGCTCCCTGTGGCGCCACGAAACGTGCAAGGGAGTCGCTGAAGTAGAGGGTGGAACCGCATTCGGACGCTGCCACTGGATCCTTCGGTGGAGCCCCCTATGGGGCCACGACACACGTGTGAGGGATTCGCCGAGATGCAGGGTGGAACCGCATGAGGGCGCTGCCACTGGGGCCCTCGGTGGAGGTCCTTGGGGGGGCCACGAAGCATGTGAGGGGTGCACCGAAATTGGGGTGGAACCGCATGCAGGCGCTGCCACTGGGGCCCTCGGTGGAACTCCCTATGGAGCCACGTTTTGTTTGCGCCCCCGCTCGTGCGCGTCTTGGTTGATGTCACGTGGCAGGCAAGCGATGCATGGGCGCAGCTTTTAGAAGTAGATTACAAGCGGTTGCGATTTCACACTGGACCCAGTAATCGACCCGATGGCGACTTTCTAGACGGAGTACTTTGGCTTGTAAGGGTTCACCCAGAGCCTATGTGAGCTAAGTCAGGGCCGCCACTGTAGAGGCCAAGCGCTCACCCAGGGATGAGTTGCACCGGGCCTTTTGGGAAAGGCGTCTTGAAGCCTGCTCCCACGGGGCCCCTCTTGAGACCTCCCGTGCGCCCTTGGCGGTTTTCTGTTGTCAGGATTGCCCTTTCATGGCCCAGTCAGATCATCAGTTGAGGTCTCTCCGTGGCAAGCCTCGCAAGCTCCTTGAGGCCACCGCCAGGCTCGCTGCGGGATCTCTGTGCCAAATGTGTGTTTCGGGACTTCTGCAACAACCCTGGGCTCGCCATGCATCTGCGCAACGCTCCGAGCTGCAGGATTTCTCGGGCTGGGTTTTGTTTTGTTCTCTAGCGGTGATGATCTTGATATTGCTCGCCTAGAATGCAACCAGGTCATGGCTTGCAGCCGATCCGACGCTAGGCTAGGCCTGAGAATTACGCAGAATGTCCCCCGATTCAGCGTGCTGGACCACCCATACATTCAATCATCCCATACTCGCGCAAGAAGGCACGAGACGATGCGGGCCAGGTTGAATTGTTGTCACCTCCTCCTCCTCCTCCTTCCTCTCCTGCCTCCTTCCGTCCTCGTCCGCGGCCCCTCCGCCTTGCGATGCATGTGATGCACTTGTTCTTCGGAAACAGGCGCGAAGGGCATGTCAAATGGCACTTCGATGCAATATGTGAGTCCGTTCCCACCAACGTTGATGTACTCAGCGTGGATGCGGCGAACCACCATGAGCACGCGGACGTGGCACCCAAGAGCACGGCGTATTTATGGATTGGATTGCTTCGCTCGGGGCGTGCAGCAGTTGTGCTTGCAGGCCCACCTTGTGAGACATGGTCTGCGGCCCGTCACTTGCCAGTGCCAGCTGACGCCCCCGGGGGTGCCCGCCCCCCCCCCCCCACGTGAACGCGCGTTAAGCAGCCCAAATTTCGCTTGGCAGCGTCCTACTTTGCACTACATTTCGGTTTTTCTTTGAAGCATGGGTCCATGATGCACCAGCCCTCATGGAGCACCCTTCGATTCACCCCTGTGTTCTCGAGGCCCCGAGTTCGTGGCACCTCCTTCAGGTGCTCCGCCTGTGTTCTCTGCCTGGGACCCGTCTGCACCATGCCAACTAGTGCATGTTCGGGGCCTGCCACCTGAAGCCCACCACCCTCATTGCGGTGCACCTTGAGGCCATGGGCACTATGCTGGCAGATATACGGGGGGTTGTGCACGCATTCCAGGCCCCACAAGTGCCTCATTGGCGTGGGGGCCGACCATCCCTGCCTCGACCATGCCAAGACCTATCCCTCGAGGCTTTGCCAATTTCTAGCAGCCAGCGTATTGCAGGAAGAAGTCTGAGTGAGGTTTCCCCGGTTGTGCCGCGACTCCACTTTCCCTCGGCCTTGCTGATTTCGTCAGGCCACCATTGCAGTGAAAGCGTGCTGATGAGTTGTTGCTGCGGGGCTAGACCCAGACTGGCCCGACTACCGACGGATGGGATCGTCCGTACGGTTCTGGGAAATGCGCGGCGCCGTGGGGCCCCTACATTGTGACGGGTGTGGCCATGAATTGCATGCTACGATGTCCAGGTCGCACGATGCCCACAGACTCACCATAGCCACGACGGTCTGCTCTTCTCCCTCCCTAGATCTCTCTCTCTCTCTCTGTCTGTCTTGCTTGCTCTCTCGTTCTCTCTCTCTCTCTCGCTCTCTCTCTCTCTCTCTCTCTCTCCCACCCATATCTCTCTATAACATCTCTCTCTCTCTCTCGCTCTCTCTCTCTCTTCGATCTCTCCCTGCTACTGCCGAGGGAAGGAGCATAATTGGGAGCGGCTTGCAGCTGCACTTGCTCGTGAAGGGCTTGGGAAGCAAGGGGATGCGAGGGTCATGATCCGACCCTCGCCTGTTGTGCGGTCCTCAAGGCAGTACCCTCCAAGTAAAGCCAGGGGCCCGCGAGGGCCTGGCCGCCCCCGTCAGAAGAGTAGCGAGTTCTGAGCAGCGGGGGATGGTCTATGCTTCTCCTGCCTTCCGTATCCGTCCGTTGTCTGCCCTCAAGTGGCCGTCCACTGTCAGCGATAGTACCCCGAGTCCGTCCACTTCCAGAGTGGGCCTGCGCCGTCGGCGCTCGAGGCACGGCGTCCACTCGACTGCTGCTGCCTCTGCCCTGCCTTGTTCTTCACCCTGTTGTCTTCCCGCCCTCTTCTCGCCACCGTGCACTTCGACCTTTCTTGCGCTTTCACCGATTGACCGACCGAGGAGGAGGGAGATGAGGAGGGGGGGAGGAGGGAGGGGGGGAGGTGGCGGGAGGGAAGGGATGGGGGGGGGGAATGGGAAAGAAGGGGGAAGAGGAAGGGGGGGAGGGGGAGATGGAGGGGAGGGGGGCGAGGGGAGGATGGCAAGCTAGATGCGCAAGCGTCATATCTGACTGTGTACCCGTCCTTCCCATCCCTTACCATTACGTAGGTCTCCTCTCACTTCGCACAGTCAGATGTCGAACAGGGCAATGATCCCGCGATAGTGCGCGACGCATGGTACAGCACGGTATATCATGGCATAGAAGAGCACGGCCACAATTGACGGAGTCGCGTCGAGAATGCGATCCGTGCCGACAGCAAAGTCAGAAGGAAACCAGAAACAACAGGACCCGAAATCCAAATGGATGGTTGGAAGGCGGGAAGCGCAAAATGATATCAACGTTGAAGTGGGAGCACGATTCCGAAGGACCGAAACCGCGGCAATGATACCAACGCTGCAGTGGGAAGGCGACTTGGAAGGAGTCGGAACGCGGAACTGGAGCCAACGGATCACGATTTGGGGAGAACCGAAACAGTGAAATGTTGTCAGCATTGCAGCGGGTGCGTGATTCTGAAGCACAGAGAAGAGGAACATGGAACCAACGCTGTAGTGGATCGGATCGGAAAAAAACACATACTTGGTCAATTCGGCGGCACCTTGTGTGTTCGAAGCACTGCGAGGAAGAGGCCAGGACACCGCAGCGGCGTTTTCGGGAGAGAAAGGACAGTATAGCATTCATGTTGTGCAATTGTGAAGGAAGGAGGAGGGAATCCTGGGGATGAAGACGGGGGAAGAGGGTCGCCCCCGCCGAGGAGTCGAGGCGCCCAGCCCCAGCATGAACAACCAAGCTTTGTGGAACTTGCAGGCCGAGGTGCCTCAGGCCGCGCCCCCGCCGTGACCGTTGCCGTCGTCGTCGTCGTCGTTGCCGTCACCGTTGCCGTCGTCGTCGTCGCCGTCGTTGTCATCTTCATCTTCATCGTCGTTGTCGTCGTCGTTGCCGTCGTCGTCGCTGCCGTCGTCGTCGTCGTCGTCGTCGTCGTCGTCGTCGTCGTCGTCGTCGTCGTCGTCGTCGTCGTCGTCGTCGTCCGCGTGATCGTCATCGTCCTCCGCGTCGAGGGTGTCGGCAGGTTCTGGACCGCGTTGCCGAGGCCGCTTTCGCCTCCGTCATCGTCGTCGTCGTCTGCGTCGTCGCAAGTATTGCAACGCAAAGCGTGGCATCGCATAGCGGCGTTGAACACAACACCGCACAGCATGTCATAGCATGGCGCCAGGTTCTTTGGAGGGTACGTCGATCGTCTTCGAGAGGTCTGGGCCGGTCTGGAGTCGTGGCTCCATGTCTAGCCCCTTGGGCTCCCCGAAAAGCTCCACACAAGGCGGGGCCGACGGAGAGTACCCGCTGGCTCTGCTTCCAACGTCGCCTTCCCCAAGCAGAAACGGGGTTCCCGCTTGATACTTCCTGAAAGCGACGAAGCCTCAAAGTGGGGGGGCTCCTGCGTCCCCAAAAATCAACGAATCGACACATAATTTGTAATCGCTTACGATGATTATTTCTAGATTTGGGGGCATATTTGGTAGTAAAGCCAGCGCTGCAGCGGGAGCACGATTCGGAACGAACGGAAGCGCGGAAATGAGGCCAGCGCTGCAGCGGGAGCACGATTCGGAACGAGCAGAAGTCCCCAAATGAGGCCAGCCCTTTGAAACAAATCAAACGAAACCCCAACTCCTGGGAATCCCGTGTGTAAGAAAACAGTACGCGGGAGGGGGGCCAGATATCTTCCTGACGTCATCAGAGGAGAGAAAAGAGTAGTATTCATAGTGTGGAATTGTGGGAGGAGGGAGATAGAGATCGGCGGCGAGCGAGGGGGTGAAGTGAGAAGGAGAAGGCCTTCTCAGAAAGCGGCGGGACTTCGCAGAAGTCTTCGCGCCTTCTGAGAAGTTTTCTGTGTCTTCGGGGAAGGCGTAGAACACTTCTCCGAAGGCTGGGGGACTTCCGAGCCTTCTGAGAAGGCCCGCTCCTTCTCACCTCCCCCCGAGGAGGGAGTCAGGGAATCAGCGATGCAAGGAGGGAGAAGGTGGCTTATAATGATGATAGTTTTACGGATGATGGTGACGATGATGCCGGAGGTGACAATGAGAACGATGATGACGAGGAGGAGGAGGAGCAGGAGGAACATGAGGATGAAGAGGAGGAGGAGGAGGTAGCATGAGCGAGGAGGGAGCCAGGATGAGGAATGTTAAGGGACGAAGGGGAGAAGGGAAGGATGAGTAAGAGGAGGACGAGGAGGAGGAATAGGCAGAAGGATCAGGAGGAAGAGGAGGAACTTCTAGATTGCTTCGGGGTATCTAGATGGGAGGCCTGAATAATGTGGGAAGGAGGAGGAGGAGGAGGAGGAGGAGGAGGAGGAGGAGGAGGAGGAGGGGGGAGAAAATGATGACGAGGAGCAGGCTGATGAGGGAGCATGAAGAATGGAGGACGGGATGAAACATATTGGAAGGAGGCGCCAGCAGGTCGGACGAGCGAGGAGGGCAATACCAGAGCGAGAGACCAGGAACTGTCAAAAGTTGATTTGGGTGTGTTGGAAAGCCGGCCCCAGGAAAAGGGCCCAGAGCTTCAAAGACCCATGGCTCAGCACAATATAGCCGCGGGATGTCTGTGGAGGGGGAGGAAGAACATAATCAACTAGATTTGTATGTTTGTGCGTTTGTGTACATATTGTCCCGGAGACGTCATGAGGCCTCTGGGGTTATCCTTGGAAACCTCCGCAGACTTCCTGGAACCGCAGCCTTCTGGGGACTGGCAATCTTGCCCAAATGAGCAACCACAGTACTGCATGATGATCGCTTTGCCGGGCGTGGTCTTACAAGCCCGGCTGTTCGATGGTTTTTTGTCTTTTGTTTGCGTTGCCCCCGCTTCCGCTTCCAGATGCGTGGCCCCGCGCCTGCCTCAGGGCCGCGCCCAGCCCCTGCAGGCCCCGCCCCACCAGAGCCAGCCCAGCCCCCACGAAGCTCCGGTTTCCCCCAGGGGGTGGGAGGTGCACGGGCAATCCGCAGCTCGCTGGAAACCCTACCCCCAAGCACCCCCAAGGCACCATTAGGAATTGAACCCAAGAAGGTCAGATTATGGGAAGAAATATTCCCCATTTAACTACAATTCGGCACATACAGGGGAAGGAGGGCATATGATTGCCCTATTCTATGGCACGTCCCCTATTCTAGTAGTGGTGGTGGTGGTCGTCGTCGTCGTTGTGGTGGTGGTGGGGGGGGGGTGGGGGTGCGGCGGGGGGTGGTGGCTGTCGGCGCAGCAGCGGCGGCGGTGGTGGGCCCGGTTGGAAATGCCAGAGGCAGCGGCAGGGTTGGCGGTGGCAGCGGTGGCGGGGGTAGCGGTGGTGTGCGCGGTGGCAGTGCGGCGGCAACGGTGAGCGCAGCCGTGAGGGGGGGGGGGGGGGCGGCTGTGGTAGCCGCAGTGTTGGTAGTGGCTTTGCATGGGCGGTGGCAGTGGCGACAACAGCGGCTGCGGCGAGCGCGGCCGCTGTTCGGGCTGAAAAGGTACTGGGAGCCGCGGCGCTGGGTGCTTCAAACAAGCGGCGGCCGAGGTGGTGGCGGCTGGGCAGCCAGTGGCAGTGGGAGCGATCGCGGTGTGGGCGGCGGTGCCTTTGGTTGGGGCGGCAACAGCAGCGGCGGGGGCAGCGATAGTGGTGGGGGGCGGGAGGGGGGGGGGGCGGTGGCCGCGGTGATGGTATTGGCTGCGGCGTGCCTGGGGCAGGCGCGTTTGCTTGCTTGCTGGATAGTGGCGGCGGATGGCTGGGTCGCGCTGGGGTGGGGGTGGGGGGGTGGTGGCTGTCGGCGCAGCAGCAGCGGCGGTGGTGGGCCTGGTTGGCAATGCCAGAGGCAGCGGCAGGGTTGGCATGGCGGCCGCGGCGGCAGCGGTGGCGGTGGCTTTCGCAATGGGGGCGTTGGCAATTCTAAATTTCAGAATTCCTGAGTATGCAAAGCTCTAAGTACACGTAAACGGCCTTACTTGCACAGAATCCTTTCTACAGTGATTTCCCCCGCAATGACAATGGCATCCCTAGAACACATCCCTTCATGTAGGCTGCTCAGGCCCCACCAGGAATTGAACCCAAGAAGGACAGATTGTGAGAACATGGATGCCCCATTTCACTACATTAACATTATTTTACCTGGGAGGGTTGGGCATATTTCGCCTGCTCCATTCCACTGAATTGTGTCATTTCACTACATTACCAGCAGATTCCGAGAAACAGGCTCCCGGCAACTTCCCAGGAGTGAAGGCCATGAGGCCCTAAGCGCCCTGGCGCCATCGTGCCAGGGCCTCCTCGCAAGCCTCAAATCCGCCAAGGCCTTGGCTCTATGGAGGCTACAGGGGCGCAGACGCCCCAATCCCCTCGACAGTTTCCCCTCGGGGCATCGGAACTGCGGGCGCGAAAAAAAAATGCCCGCAATTTTCAAGGAGATTAGCTCTGCGGGCCGGAGAAAAAGAGCCCGCGCCCCCCTGCCACCTCTGGGCAATCGAAATGCGGGCAGGAAAAAAACTGCCCGCAGTTTTTCAACGAGATTAGCTCTGCGGGCCGGACAAAAAATGCCCGCCCCCCTTCGAAGTGCGGGCAGACAAAAAAATGCCCGCAGTTTTTCAAGGAGATTAGCTCAAGGGGCCAGAAAAATTTTCTGAATATATGTTTTTCCAACTGAGACCTGCAAGAAGTACTACTGGGATTTGAACCTGTGAAGCGCAGATTCTGTCCTAACGCCTTATCGGTCAGGCCATGCAGTCGAGAAGATCTGATCGCCCCGCCGATATCGTTCATTTTGTGGCCCTGGCCCCTGTGGAGGCGACCCCTGCCTCCACAGAAGGCGCGCCCGTGCGAGCCAGCCCGGGATGGCTGGGGGCAGCGCTGCTGGGGGCACCGCTGCTGCGGGCGCCCCTCGCCTGGGGCTGCGCGAGGGCTCGCAGGCCCGTGTGTTTGGCCTCCGTCGTTCAGGATGGCGCTCTCGCCCCAGCGCGGGCCCCTTTCTCCCGCGCCCATCCGCCCGCCACCACCGCGCCGCACCACCGCCACCACCACCACCACCACCACCACCACCAGCAGCACCAGCACCAGCACCACCACCAGCACGAGCACAAGCACGAGCACCAGCACCAGCACCAGCACCAGCACCAGCACCAGCACCACCACAACCACGCACACACGCACGCCCGCCCGCACGCACGCGCGCCACCACCCACCTCCTCCTCCTCCGCCTCCTCCTCCCCCTCCGCCTCCTGCTTCCTCCTTTTCCTCGCATTCATATTCCTGCTCCTGCTCCTGCGCCTGCTCCTGCTTCTGCTCCTGCTCCTCCTCCTCCTCCTCCTCCTCCTCCTCCTGCTCCGAATATCATCTTCCTCCTCTACCTCTCGCTCCTCCACCGCCTCTTCCTCCTCGCCCTCCTCCTCCTCCTGCTCCGCCTCCCGTTTCCCCCCTTTCCTCCTGTTCCCCTTCCTTTTCCTCATCCTTTTCCTGCTCCTCCTCCTCCTCCTCCACCTCCTCCTTTTCCTCCGCCTCCTCATCGTCATCCTCCTCCTCCTCCTTTGGCCTCCTGCTTCCCCCGTTCCTCGCATTCCTCTTCCTCCTCCTCCTCCTCCTCCTCCTCCCCCTCGTTCTCCTCCTCCTCCTCCTCCTCCTCATCCCCCTCCTCACGCGCAACGATGCTGAGCGGAACCCCTCTGTGGCTTCCAGAAAAGCCTGGGCGACCTGTGGATAGGGCCGACCATGGCCTCGTGTGAGGAGCCCAGGAAAGCCTGCTGCAAGGGGCCAAGGACGCCCCGTGCACAGCATGCCTCAAGGTCCTTGAAGGCTCCGAGACCCTGGCGCCTGGGGCCCT